GCCACGGGAAGATGTCTATGAGAATCTGGAGGAGAAGGCAGTCAGGAGCATGCATTCTATCATGGACTTGCTCACTCTGATTCTATAACTTCTGCCTGCAGAATGCCTGCATATTGTCTCTCTCTACGAAAGACTACTAAGATGTATTCTTCTTACTAAGACTGTTTTGTGCCCTCAAATACTGTCTTTCCCTTTCTCTCTCCCTTCTACTAAAGCAAATAGCCCTCAGGCACCTAAGAGCAATTGTTTCCAAGCAAGGTAGCCTAGTGGTCTGCGTCCGGAACCTAGATAAGCCGGGGGCTGGAGACCTGGCCAGTCCCAGGCCCCGACAAGTGGCAACCACGAAGGACCCCAATACAGAATCATGAGCCAAGTAAATTTCTCTTTATTGTAAATTATCAGTCAGTGGTATAAAATGGACTGAGTGGAAAATTGGGGTGTTGCTATACCAAATACCTGAAAATATGAAGCAGCTTGGGAACTGGGTAATGTGTAATGGACATAAGAATTGAGAAGAACAGGTTAGGAAAAAATATATTGCTATGGGCTTGGCGCCCATAGCACAGTGGTTATGGCACTGGCCATGTACACTGAGGCTGGCGGGTTCAAAGCTGGCCAGGGCCAGCTAAACATCAATGACAACTGCAGCAAGAAATAGCCAGGCATTGTGGCATATATATATATTTTTTGCTGTGAACGGAGCATTGAGGGCTTGCTGGTGAGAGCTCAGAAGAAAAGAATTGCTGCAAGCTGGGCAGCGCCTGTGGCTCAGTGAGTAGGGTGTAGGCCTTATATACTGAGGGTGACGGGTTTGAACCCAGCCCCCACCAAACTGCAACACAAAATAGGTGGGCGTTGTGGTGGGCACCTGTAGTCCCAACTACTCGGGAGGCTGAGGCAAGAGAATCACTTAAGCCCAAGAGTTGGAGGTTGCTGTGAGCTGTGATGCTATAGCACTCTACTGAGGGCGACATAATGAAACCCTTGTATCTTAAAAAAAAAAAAGAAAAGAAAAGAATAACTGCAGGTAAAGTCTTAGTCTTTCCAGAGATTCCTTAAGTAGCTGTGAGCAGTATGCTATTAGAAATGGGGTGGTAAAGCCATTATGATGAGGTCTCAGGAAAGTGATAAAGGAAAATGGAGTAAAAGCCATCTTGTTACAAAGTGACAAATAGTATACCTAAAGGCTTTGTGGAAGGTAGAATGTAAGAGTGATAAGCTAGGGTATTTCTAATCAAAATATTGAGTGAGATGCATGGCTATGTTTAACAGCATATGGTAAGATGCAAGAGGATAGAAATCATTCAAAGATAAAATTTATAATTAAAAGAGATGCAGAGTGGAAAGATTTGGAAAAGCCACAGCTTGGCCATCCAAAGAAAGTAAAGACATCTTTGAGAGATCAAACCAATGGTGTGGACAAGTAACTATTTGCAAAAGAGATTAGTGCCAACAGAAGGTAGCCAGGTGCTACTCATCAGTACTATGGGAGAAAGACCATGGAGGCATTTCAGAGAACTCTGAGGCTATCCCTCAAATCTACGACTTGAAGGACAAGGTTTCCAGAAAGGCATCTGCAGGATCTCAGAGTTCACTGCCCTGCACTCCCTCAAGTATCCGCTCCTACATTCCAATACAATGCTCCTTAGACACCCTAGCCATGGCTCGGGCGGGTTCAGGTGCAGCACAGGTCACTACACTGTAAGGAGCAGGCCTTCGTAGTGTCCACATAGTTCTAATTCAGCAGATACGTACAGGTGTTTCTTCTAACTCTCACTCCTCCTGATCATGGCAGACTCCACTTAGATTTCAAAGGATGTATTGGGCAGCCTGGGGGCCCAGGCAAAGGCCTGTTGCAAAAGTGGAGCTGTTACAGAGAGATCTTACTAGGATAATGCCTAGTATAGTCGTGGGATTGGGGTCACCCTTCAAGACCCCAGAACCACCAGAGCTACCAGAGTGAAATACCAGCCTGGAAGAGCTGTATACATGAGCCAAATAGGCCTTTTTTCATTATAAATTTCCTAATCTCAGGTAATTCTAACAACACAACATGGACCAAGACAGCCTCTGTAGTACTTCAATTTTTACCTATGCCCCTATAATTCTACTTTCTCCTTCTCCTTTTGTTTGTGCAGAGTCCAAAGATCAGCCTGAGAGGCAAACCTCATGTCTCTCAGATTCTGAGCATGGTCTAGTCAAGGGCATTCAGATCACACTCTAGATCCCCCAGTTTATACAGTAGCCCTTCAAACCTTTATTATTCCAAGGAGGCTCCACAGCTTCCTTTCCACGGATTTGGCACTGTTTGCTACTCTGTTTGTCCTGTCGGCTGCTCCTTTTCTCAGGAAGCAACAGGTAGAAAGGGTTAAGTAGATGAAAAGGTTAGTAGTTAAATCCCTTAACCCGAATTTTGGAATTTGTGGATTTTGGAATATTTGCATATCCATAAGGTAACATGGGAATAGGATCCAAGTCTAGACCTGGAATTCATTTGAGTTTCATATAAACCTTCTACATATAGTCTGTAGATAATTTTATATATTATTTTTAAATAATCTTGTAGATGAAAGTTTGTGTTATGTACTTATGTGTGGAATTTCTCACTTGTGGCATCATGTTGGTGCTCACAAAATGTCAGATTTTGGAGAATTTCTAATTTTGAATTTCAGATTTTTGGATTAGGGATGCTCAACCTGTGTATGCCTTTAAATGCATTTGACAGGCTCAACCTAGGAGGTGGGGGGGGGGGGGCAGAACAAAAGCCTCTGTGTTCAACCCACAGGATCTTTAGACAGTTCAAAACAGAGAACTACAATTTTTTACAGAGCAAAGTCTATCCCCACCCCCCAGCACCAGCAAGCTGCATCAAGAATGCAGGCTGCTGTCCCCACAGTCACTACAAAGGTGAAGAATGAGAGAATGGTAAGTGGGTTAAGAAAATGCCATAATACTTACTAATTTTTTTTTTTTTTATAGAGACAGAGTCTTACCCTGCCGTGGCATCACACAGCTCACAGCAACCTCCAACTCCTGGGCCTAGGGATTCTCTTGCCTCGGCCTAATGAGTAGTTGGGACCACAGGCGCCCAGCCTGAACCCGCCACCCTCGGTATATGGGGCCGGTGCCCTACTCATTGAGCCACAGGCGCCACCCTCTTTCTTCATTAAGCATGCCCTTACTTGTAGCAGCCTCTATAGCTTATGGCTAGGAGGAGTGAGAGTTATAAGAGTGAAAAAGGCATGGAGAGAGATTTAGTTCTAACAAGCATGAGAGAGCTCGAGAGAAGAGAGCATTGGTGAATTGGTAGTGTCTACACCTGTGGTGTTGAATGGCATGAGCTCAGCCTTATATTAGGCTGGAGGAGAAGGCAGACAAAAGGCATGCGCATTCTATCACAGATCCACTTGTTAAAGACTAAGAGCTATCTGTTCTAAGAAGACTGCTTTACTCTCTCTAAGATACTCTGTCTCTCTCCAGCTAAAGTAGATAGCCCTCAAGCACCTAAGAGAAACTGTTTCTGAGCAAGGTAGCTTAGTGGTCCGCGTCCAGAACCTACCTAAGCTGGGCCTGAGACCTAGCCAGTCTGGTGCCCTGACAAGTGGTGTCAGAAGCAGATCCTGACACTGGCTTGCTGTTTTTACTTGATTCCAGAATTCCAAAAATGTTGATACTGTCAGTTTTGTCATCTTAATGAATGGTTTAGTAGAAGGACTAATTTTTGAAGCTTCTTAGTCCACCATTATTTTTTAATATCACTTCCCACTAATTTTGATGAATAGGTGTTCAAGTGCTTTTAACAGCAAATATTACATATAAAGCAGTATAATTGTCTTCACAAAGATTTTCTTAATTTCTTATGCAATCTGATACTAACATTTATATTTCTTTGTTGCTGTTGTAAATTGGATTTTATTTTCTATAGCAGTTGATTTTATGATCTGAATAAAAATGTTCAATATGCATTGTTTGATACAAAGTTATGCATCATCATAATTCTATTTTTGGTTCTAATGATCCTGTTTTTGTAAAAGAATCAGAAGGGCTGCACCCAACATTTAATCATGAACACAGGAGGTGAGAATTTGTGAAGTGTTTTTGCTCATTTCATTTGTTCATTTGTATTTCTGAATTTATCTAAAATACGCATATATTACTTTTGTGATCTGTGGTCAAGTGTTCATAGTGCTCACTACCAACCCACTGATTTAGTCTGACCAGATTTTAGTCAGGCTCCTCTCTTCCCTACAGGGCGCTAAACTTTGGCCTGTCCCCAAATCTAAGCAAGCACTCAAATGCAGACCATGCCCTTCTAACATCTCAGCCCAAGAATGGCCTGTGCAGGGACAAACATTTCCTATCAGACTGCTCTCATCATGGGCTTTGCTCACCACTCCTCCACTTGCTAACTCCTTTTTATAAAAGGATATCCCTTTTCTATTTGACTTTAAGATGTTCGCAAATCCTCAAGTTGGAGCATGTTTCGTATTGCAATCGACTTTTTGAACAGTTTCTTCTGGATTTATTTTTATTTGAAATTTGAAGAGCCAGCTTGCTTACCTTTGCTGAAAGACTACGATTTTTCTCTTTTACTGTTTACTTTTAAACACGTTATTTTTCTTTTATTACTAGTATTTTAATTAGTTTAACGTCTTAGTGTTTAAATTACTTTCACGTTTACAGTGCTAAGGCACACTGATTCACATCTTTAGTTCCTTCTGTAGCTTGGCGTTCCAATGGCACACTAATTATAGACAGGCACCATTTACCAGTGGTACCAAACAAATTCAGGGCAGCTGGTGGCAGAAGTGCTATCTCCGGAGCACAACCTCTTAACTGCTAAATCTGTAGAACTTTCCGACATTTCCTAAGGCCATGAACAAGCAGGTTTCTGGGAGACTGAGTCCAGCCGCCCGCAGGCTCACCGCGCATGTTCGGGGGACGAGGCCGCAGAGGCTCCTTCTGCGCATGAGCAGCTCCCCGGGGACGCGTCTTGGGCTTGGCGTGGGAGAGGTTACCAAAACCTCCAGGTCTGAGGGCGGCTTCGGTCCGCCCGGATTGGGGTGCGTGCCGCAGTTGTTGGAGCTGTTGCGCAGTTCGGGGAGGGGGGTGCTTGTTGGGCTGGAGCAGGGCTGGGGTCGGGTGTGGGAACGCGGGGGCGCGGCCCGGGGCGGTGGAGTTCGCGCGGCCGACCCCTGTGGGTCGGAGTGGGCGGGGTCAAATGGGCGCTTTGGTGCCTTAGGGCTCTGAGTGTAAAAGAAAGATTTTTCCTAGGTAATAATGTACGTGAGACTGGATTCCGGATATAAAACGTGGGTATTAGTAATACCTGCCTCCTGAGGTTGCCCGTGGGATTAGATAACCGTGCTTGGCAGTAAATAATAGCTGCTGCTGTTAAGGAAACGCTTTTCTTTTCTTTTTTTTTTTTTATTTTTTAGACAGAGCCTCAAGCTATCCCCCTGGGTAGAGTGCTATGGCATCACAGCTCACAGCAACCTCCAACTCCTGGGTTCAAGCGAGTCTCCTGCCTCAGCCTCCCAAGTAGCTGGGACCACAGGCGCCCGCCACAACGCTCGGCTATTTTTTGGTTGCAGCCATCATTGTTGTTTGGCGGGCCCGGGCTGGGTTCGAACCCGCCACCTTAGGTGTATGTGGCTGGCGCCTTAGCTGCTTGAGCCACAGGCGCCGAGCCGGAAACGCTTTTCTTAACTAGATTCTGCTCACAGTCTCGCCCTTAGGACAGTAACTCTTCCACACACACAAAGGAAAGAAGAGAAGAAAGTTACATACAAAACTAACAGACAAACACCCTAGAAGAAAAACTCAAAGGTTTCTTCAGGTGTCATGTCATGGTCTTTCTAATTTATCAATGTGGTTATAAAAGATAGCATTGCATGCTCCACAGCGTTAGGAACAATTTTAAGTGTGAAGAAATAATTCGAAGGCTTGAATCATGCAGCAGGTCTGTTTCTCAGCTGTCTAGATGTGTCTTCAGAGCCTTTGGGTGAGACAGTGTGACTGTTTCTTAGTTAGGTTTGTATGGTCCACACTTGTCTGTGTTCACAGCAGCCTTAATTGGAGTTGATTGAAAGTCTGACCGGAGATTCTACTGGACAGGGAATATTCAGTGTTAAATTGTGGCCGTGAGTAAAGGTTCCAACTGAAATAAACTTGTCCCTTAGGTGCATTTCTCATTCTCCTTGGAGCAAAGCACCTCTTGTGAAGTAAGAAGGAGACATCTCCAGGAGCAGGATCCCACGTGGAGAAAAACCGTTCCACATCTGAGTGAGTTTCTGAGTAGAGGCAAATTCCCAAGAAGGAGCAGATCCTAGATTTGCACAGCCTTCTCAGAAAGCAGATTTGGGTTATGTTGCAGCATCCAGAAGGCCTGGCAGGGAAAATGGTCTGGACCAGACTTAGAGAGAGGAGAACTAGGCTGTGAGGAATAAAGGAATGTTAGGCCATGCTGGAAATATACCTTAACAGAGGGGTTTGGTGAACGTGCTCTGGGGAAAGTGGTTTTACGGCTAGATCTGAATAAATTCCATCTCTTACCAATTCCAGTACAACCCCACACTGTTTATTTTTCACTCACTCTTTCCACATTCTGAGCTCTTCTCACCCAGTGAATCGGGCATCTGAAAAAAATGCTGATGAATTGCTTTATTGTGGCATTATAGGACAGCAGTACAAGAAAGGTTTTCTGTTTGTCTTGTTCGTGTTTGGGAAAAATTAACCCCAAGAGTGTAAGTGAATTTCCCTGCCTTTGTATTAGTGGCAGAGCTGAGAGATGACATTGACTTTACTGACACTCAGACTAGTGCTGATCACATTATCACTGTTAAAAAAGGTATACTGGGCTCGGCGCCTGTGGCTCAAGCGGCTAAGGCGCCAGCCACATACACCTAAGGTGGTGGGTTCGAATCCCCAACCTGAGCCTGCCAAACAACAATGATGGCTGCAACCAAAAAAATGGCCGGGCCTATAGCGGGCGCCTGTAGTCCCAGCTACTTGAGAGGCTGAGGCAGGAGACTTACTTGAGCCCAGGAGTTGGAGGTTGCTGTGAGCTGTGATGCCATAGCACTCTACCCAGGGGGATAGCTTGAGGCTCTGTCTCAAAAAAAAAAAAAAAAGGTATACTGAAAAACATATACTGTAGAAAAACAATTTAAAAGTGACCTTATTGGCCTGGTACATTGGCTCATGCCTGTAATCCTAGCACTCTGGGAAGCCAAGACTGGCACAGTGTTTGAGCTCATGAGTTAGAGACCAGCCTGAGCAAGAGCCAGACCCCATCTGTACAAAAAATAGAAAACTAGCAAGATGTAGTGGCATACGTCTATAGTCCTAGCTACTTGGGAGGCTGAGACAAGAGGATCACTTGAGCCCAGGAGTTTGAGGTTGCTGTGAGCTATGGCCAGGGCACTTTAGCCTGGGCAACAGAATGAGACTTGCTATACTAGTCTCAAAATAAAGAAAAAAAAGGGACCTTACCTTAAAGCAGTGGTTCTCAAACTGAACTGTATTAAAGGGTCATGGCATTTTGAAGATTGAGAACTACTGCCTTAAAGTTCCTCCATCCCTTTTTGATAGCTTTGAGTTATTTCTATTACTCAAGTAATAAACAGAGAACTCTACATACAATACATCTTGAAGACTCAGGTTATTTAGTGCATTTTGATTTATTTAACCATTTTTCTCATAATTTTTTTTATTTGCAAACACAAAATGTTAAATATATATATATTTTCTATTTGCAAACAAAATGTTAAATATATATATATATATATGTTTTTTTTTTTTTTTTTTTAGAGACAGCGTCTCACTTTGTTGCCCTTGGTAGAGTACCATGGTGTCACAGCTCACAGCAATCTCCAACTCCTGGGCTTAGGTGATTCTCTTGTCTCAGCCTCCTGAGTAGCTGGGACTATAGGCGCCTGCCACAACACCTGGCTATTTTTTCTTGCAGTTTGGCCGGGGCCAGGTTTGAACCCACTCCCCTTGGTATATGGGGCCAGCACCCCACTCACTGAGCCACAGGCACTGCCCCACATATGTTGTTTTAAAAAAAAATTGGTAGTGGCCGGGCATAGTGGCTCATGCCTGTAATCCTAGCACTCTGGGAAGCCAAGGTGGGCATACTGTCTGAGCTCACAGGTTGGAGACCAGCCTGAGCCAGAGTGAGACCTCATCTTTTAAAAATAGCTAGGCGTTGTGGTGGGTGCCTATAGTCTCAACTACTTGGGAGGCTGAGGCAAGGGAATTACTTGAGCCCAGGAGTTTGAGGTGGTTGTGAGCCGTGATGCTATGGCATTCTACCAATGGGGACAAAGTGAGACTGTCTCAAAAAAAAAAAAAAAAAAAA